GGCGGGACGGGCAGCGGGGCGGGGCTCCGCCGGCGCGGGCGGCGCGCTCACCGGCCCCATCGCTGCTGCTCAGGGCGCAGCGCGCACCGATCGCCCCCCACAGCACAGCCGGGGTGCCCGGGGGCTCCGGGACGCGGCGGCTCCGCCGTAGCCGTGCTGCCGGCGGCGAAAATCCTGCCCGTCCCTGTGATGGCGGCAGCACGGCGTCTGCCCGCAGCTACGATGGCGGCGGCCGCGCTTCCGGTCTACGGCTCCCGGCCGTCTCAGCCCACGGGGCACGCCGGGACGACCAGAGCGGCGCTGCTGTGGGCAGCCTGTTCGTCGAGTCCATCACCGCTGCTCCGCCCGAGCATATCTCACACGATGACCGGGAGGCGGCGGTTCTGTCAGCCGGGACCGCGAGAACCCACCCGTTTCTACCATGGCGGCCAGGCGGCGTCTGCCCGCAGCTAAGATGGCGGCAGCAGCGCGTTCGGCGCGCCGCCCGGCGCTCCCGGCATGCCCCGCGCGGGGCCGGGCACACAGCTGCCAAGATGGCGGACCTGGAGGAGCGGGTGTCGGATGAGGAGAAGGTAAAGGAAGGGCTGGCCGTCCCTCCGCTGCGGGCCTGCGCCGCTGCCCCCGGCAGCGCACTGGGTGGGGAGTGCTGGGCAAGCTCGCCTGGTGCCCGTGTGCCGGCCTGCGAGTGCTTCGGGGCGGGCGGGCTCCCGAGACCACCGGGCCGCCGCCGCCCGGCTGAAGGACCAGCTGTTCCTTTCCAGCAGCGCTTTGCCTTCCGACTTCCTCACTGCCTTCCTTCCGATTTCCTCACTGCCTTCCGATTTCCTCATTGCCTTCCGATTTCCTCACTGCCTTCCTTCCGATTTCCTCACTGCCTTCCGATTTCCTCACTGCCTTCCGATTTCCTCACTGCCTTCCGATTTCCTCATTGCCTTCCTTCCGATTTCCTCACCGCCTCGGTGCAGCTGATGGGTCTTGGCCGGGCGTTGTGCATGAAAATGGGCAGTCTCAGCCTAAACCAGGGCAGGTTTAGGTTGGACGTCAGGAGGAGCTTAACAGAAAGGGCGATCAGACATTGGAGGGGCTGGAGCTCCCATCCCTGGTCAAGGAAGGACCGGAGGTGGCTCCTAGTGCTGTGCTCTTGTTGACAGGGTGGGAGTCAGTCACAGGTAGCTCGCTTGGTGATCCTGAAGGTCTTTCCCAGCCAAAATGATTTGGTGAAAATGTATTTTCTGTGCTGCTTTTCCCAAATCAGCAAAGTAACAGGGTGTCTGCAAGGTGCTTTGCAGCTCTTCACTTCTTGAACACCCTCTGAGTGTGTTGTTGCATTTTCTGCTCGCCCCAGCTGCTGACAGGGACTTTGATGTAGACCCTGAGAATTCTGCTGGATCAAAGGACTGAGTCGGAGCAAATAGAGCCATACTTATTTTGGGAAATGAGCAGTTTGATCTTCTTGTGTAGGAATGTGGAGAAAGTTGCATACTCCCAAGTTCTCTGCTGGGTCATACGCTGTTGTCTGCACACAGCAGTTTAAAAATGCACTATTACTTTCCTTGCATCATGGAAGTGTTACACTCAGTGCTTGCTTTGTTTCTTAGCATTCTGGAGCAGTTGTCAGGATCATGGATCTTCAAGGATCCTACAAGTCCAGCAGTTGCTTTCATTTTTCCCTTAAAGTGCATTTTCAGCTTCATTTCAGTGACACCATTTGTGAAACAAGCAGGGCTTTAGAGGTGCAGTTCATCTATTAGTCAGTATTTTAGGTGATGTTGTTTGGAATAAGTATTCCAGAGCAGAATATGGCCTTTAGAACACTCAATTTCAACCAACTCCGTGCCTCACAGAGGCAGAGAAGGATACCCTTAAAGGAGGATCTGAAAGAGAAACATGCAGCAAAGATTTACTGCAGTGTGTGACTGTTCAGATGAGTCTAGAACCTTATATATGTTAATTTTTTAAGTTTGAGTTTACCTTAAAGCAAAAAACCCCAAAAATGTTAGTTGAGGAACAATATTAATTCCTTCCGTCCTCCAAGCTTCACTCCTTTATTCTCTTTGGGTGTATTTTAGGTAGGAGATTAATTTCTCAGCCAGGCTGGGAGAGCTGGGGTGTCCAGTCTGGAGAGGAGAAGGCGCCAGGAGACTTTGGATCCCCTTCCAGCACCTGAAGGGGCTCCAGGAGAGCTGGGGGGGGACAGGACAGGGGGGAGCAGCTTCCCACTGCCAGAGGGCAGGGCTGGATACTGGGAATTGGGAATTGTTCCTGGCACGGTGGGCAGCCCTGGCACAGCTGTGCTGCCCCTGGATCCCTGGCAGTGCCAAGGCCAGGCTGGGCAGGGCTGGGAGCACCTGGGGCAGGGGAGGGTGTCCCTGCCACGGCACTGGGTGGCATTTAAGGTCCCTTCCAACCCAGCCAGTCTGGGATTCTGGGATTTTCTTGTAAGTTCTTCTGAAATCTGCCCTGTTTTGCTCACTCTGCTGCTGTTCTGCCAGTTTAAGCTAACGGCTGAGCAGCTTCCCTTCCCCTCAGACACTTTCCCCATTTTAGAAGCAGGAAGTTGGTGCTGCAGAGCTGAAATGACACCTGAAATGGCCCCGGGGGCCAGGAAATGGGGCAGGTTGCAGAAAGTCCTATTTTGGTGTTTCTGCAGAGGAGCATCCTGACACCACCCTCCAATCAGCCAGCTCCGAAAACCAGCAACCATTCAAGTGCTTGACATTTCAAATTAATCACTCCCCAGCCTGCTTCCTGCACCCCTGCTTTCAGTAGTTTGATTGAAATGTTTTGTATTTTCTTGATCTGTGAGAGGCAGGGCAAGGGATAATTACCCAAGTGAACACTTTCCCCTTGCAGCCTTTGCTTTGTTCAGAACTGGCTTTGTAATAATGTTTGATTGAAGTGCAGCACGTGGTGTCCCTTCAGAAATCTTCCAGCTTTTTGGGGCAGACTCTGAGCAAAGTCCACTGAGGATATGGAGCTGCAGGGTCTCCATCACCATCCAAATTTCTGACAGTGAAATTCGACAATATTGTGGCAGCAATCTGTGCTAATTACAGCTCTCTAAATAGTGAAAGTTTTCAGTTTAAGAGCTCTATTTTTAGAATTACTGTACATTTAGCAACCTAAAACCAGAAAATAAAGAGAAAATGGTTTTTGTCCTGCATCGTATCAATTACACAAGATACTGTCTTTTTAATGTGTTCTTTGTATTGCTTCATTTCTTCAGGCACAAATAATGTATATCTATTTTTTGAAGTCATTGCTAATTTGGAAGGCAGTCTATTTTTATCTGAGGCTCAATCCAGTTAAGGCAGAGTTGTTACTTGATCCTGTTGGAATAAGGCAATTACCTTTTGTTTGGAAAAGTGTTTATTCTTTTCATGGCTTGCTTTAAATAATTATGTGACAAACAATACAAACAATTTCACATTAAAACAGGGAACACTGTTGAGAGGAGTTATTTTCAGCTCTGGTAATAACTCATGTGAAGCAGTTACATACGTATAAATATATATATATACACCTAATTCTTTGTTTTGCTGCTCAAAGTGAAATGTAGAAAGTAATCAGAGTAGTAATGAGCAATTCTGCAGTCACTTTCAATAAATGTCTTGTTAGACCAGAGAGGCTCATTGGTCAGCTTTGTTAGCTGGAAATGTTGGCTGTCAGAGGAAATGGACGTTTTTATTATTCTAAGGGAGAGGTTTAATTTTGTGGCATTTCCTTTTTCATTTCTTCCAAGATCTTTCTATTCCCTTTGGTCCTGTAAAAGCCATAAAAGATTTTATAATGAAAACCATAAACTCTTACCAATTCCAGCAGAATCAATATTTGGGCCACCTAAATTCTAACAGTGCAAGACGTGTATATTGGATTTCGGAACACATTACAATTTTATTACACTTTTAGAAGAGACAGGGTTTTTCTTTTCCAGATTCAGAGTTTCTGGACATTGAAAGTTGGCTTTTTCAGTTATTGATGCCTTCATCGTCACAGTTCCACGTGTCTTCATAGAAATCCAGAATGGTTTGGGGTGAAGATCGTCCAGTTCCACCCCTTGCCATGGGCAAGGACACTTCCCACTAGACCAGGTTGCTGCAAGCCCTGTC